ATAGGAGTAGAACTGAAGAGATAGAAGCCAGAACTAGTGAGCTAGAAGATAAGTCTCTCAACACTACTAAGATAGGAAAGCAAACACAAAAAAGGATAAAAAAAAATTCTGAAGAAGGCCTAAGATTCATGTTGGACAACATGAAGAGGAAAAACTTAAGAATTATCAGCATTCTGGAACAGGTAGAATCACACAAGTCCACAGAGGAGAGAGTTGAAGAGCTTCTGAATGAAAAATTTCCTAATATCCTGAAAAGTGAAAAGATAAGCATTCAAGAAGCTCAAAAGACCCAGATAGGATAGATCCTAAAAGAAAATCACCAAGACATATAATAATCAAGCTCTCCAAAATCAAAGATAAGGACAGAATCCTGAAAGAATCTAGGGTAAAAAGAAGTATAACATACAAAGGCAAGCAAATCAGATTAAGCTTGGATTTCTCAACAGAAACCATGCAAGCAAGAAGGCAATGGGGGAGACATAAAAAAACTCTGAGAGAAAAATAAACTGCCAACAAAGAATCCTCTACCCATCAAAGCTGTCAATCAAACACGATGGTGCAATCAAAGCATTCCAGAAGCTAAGGGATTTTGCCCAAACCAACCCTGCTATGAAAATCATCCTAAAGGTAGTTCTGTGAAATGAAAATCAACAAGAACAGACAACAACCAGAGAATGACATGCACAGCAGCATCACCCTGAACTCAACAGACAAATGGAAGAGTCAAGAACAGAATAAAATTATAAGAACAACAACAAAAAAAAAATATATATATACATCCAAGATCCTCTACATCTTAAATTCTAGCATTAAAGCTTATTAATAGCAAAAATAACAGTAAAATTAAAACCAAAGTCTTTCTCAAAAGCCACAGACCTACTAGACTAATTTACTTACTTCAGCTACTTGTGATTTGAGAGATTTTGATTCATCTTCTAGGGACTGTATCCTCTCTGAAATATCCATTATCTGGAAAGACAGTATTAATAAACTATTCACTAAATGTCTCCAATTTCCAAGATGTTGCTTATACTGTTATATTGATATACTGTCCACCTAAGGTTTGGTTCAAAAGCAAGGGCTCAAATTTTAAAAACCTTTTCAACTTATTTAAACATATACTTAGAGGAATTTTAAGAAAGTTAATATCAATAACATCTTTTATCAAAACTTTACTATTTCACAAAATTCAAGTTATACAGGCTTAAGATAAGTTCACTAATGTCATATATTACTAAATAGTCTCACACACAACAAGAGCTTCCTTAAACTGTATTTTAAAACAAAGGAAGGAACAATAACATGTTCTTAACTTTTTAAGCATTAAAAAATATCTGCTATGTATGTAAATGCTCAACTTAATTGACTTATGTGAGTTACTTCCATAGTGCATGTAGAAAATTTCTGTTAAAATATGCTGAAAAAAAAAAACTTAGCATAGTTACTTCTGCCAAGTAAAGAAACATAATACCTTCGAAAATTTTTGGTTTCTACTTTATAGCCTTCTGTAGTCTTTGGATTTTTTTTTTTTTTTTTTTTTAACAGAGCATATAATTTTTTAACCAACAATTACTTATTTTTCTTATTTTCTCCTCAAATACAAAAGCCTTACCAAGTCATCTTGTTCAGAATGTTTGGATTTCTCTTCTTCTAACTCTTTTTCTAGAACAAGTATTTCATCCTCAACTTCAGATTTAGACCTTTCCAGTTTTTCACAGGTTGCCTAAAAGAGGAAACAACTTTACTAAGACAAATTTAGGAATCTTTGATTAGGAAAAAATATATGAGTATAATCACACATATATACTATGTTATGTGCCGTGGAGTGGGTTCCGAATCATAGTGACCCTGTACAGAGTTTCCAAGGCTGTAAATCTTTACGGGAGCAGAAAGCCTCATCTTTCTCCCATGGAACAGCTGGTAGTTTCGA